TAGAACTTAGAAGTGGCAGGCCAAGGCTTTGTTAGAGATATTATTAATGATGGAAAAATGTCTTCATCGATCCCTCACTAGCAAGTTGTTGAAGATAGATACCATTCAAAGTGTCGACATCACCATCAATATCCAATGTTTTGACATGGTTGGATTCGGAGGACTAGTTACAACTTACAAGACGGCCTAGGAAACATATACACATTCCATCTTACGATGAGTTTAAATGTTAATAAACAAAGTTACATGTTATCTTTTGTAAGTAAGGGTCTTATAAGATTGATATGCTGAATTTGTTGGCATGCTCAAGGTTGTCAAGTTTGCATGGGATATCAGTTACAAAAAAGTCAAATTTCAGCTCGACTCAAAAGCGACGATGGCCCTACGTACCTCAAGCTTGGAGATCGATCATCAACATGTAAATATCACTCAATCATTTGTGTTATTCTTGAGAGGATTTGAGAGGTTTAAGTGGTTTGTGTTTTCAGAGAGTCAAGCTTTTGTTGTCGATTGTGCCATTCAATAGACATAGGAACTATATTCGTCTCGAAGATCTGGATGTCCTATCAAACCTGTTCTATTTGTGATAATTATAAGATAGTGTTGTTTTGCACTTTTTTTTAATGCATAATATCAACTTTCAAGAATGTGTTAGGCATAAGGCTGAGCGTTGATGCTCTGCCTAGCCTGTTTAGGCGTTGCCTAGGCATGTCGAAGCACTAGATGTAAGTGTAGCAAAATATCTCATACTTGTCTAGAATCACAAATTTATGAACCAATATCATCGTTCATCGCATCTACCTCTCCTTTTTAAACCTTCATCAACAACACATGGTAAAGTATAAAACACAGTGTGGAGAAATGAGAAAGGATGAAGAAGTTAAAAAATAGCAAAGCAGATTGAGAGAGAAGAAACGCAAAAATAAAGAAGGAACTCTAAAAATGATCGTCTCTAACTTTAGCCTAGCGGCTAGGAACAATCAAGAGGGAAAGAAGTAGGGATGGCAACAAAACCCGAACCCACGGGTACCCACCCGACCCAACCCGGTCAACGCGGGTAAAACCCATGTTGAGGGGTTTTGGGCCGGGTTCGGGTTTAAACCCGCTACACTATTCATCGGGTCGGGTCGGGTTTGGGTTTAGGTAAACCCGCCCCATGGGTACCCGCCCACACATATAATTATTTTCCCGGTATATTTAATATTCTAAATAATATATCTTCTTTAAACAACTAATATTATTTATGTTTGTGGAGACATGTATAATTTGTTCTTTCTCATTATTTAGAATGAAGTTGATATTATGGAGTGGAGAGTGAAGAAAGTTATTTGACGAGGAAGAAGATTTCAATTAATCTTGTTGTTTATAAATGTTTATCTTTAACTTTGAACAATTTGTATTGATCATTTTCGGTTTGCTTGTATATTCTAGATTGGTATTTTTTGTATGAATAATTTGTATGAGGAAATTGATGTTAAACTTTTATTGTGAAAGAAATTTGTTATTGTAAAATTTTTACCACAAAAACCCACGGGTACCCATGAACCCGCGGATACCCAGCGGGTTGGGTTGGGTTTGAGTTTTTCAAACCCAACGGGTTTTACCCCGGGTTTTTTTGGCGGATAAACCCATGGGTTTGGGTTTGGGTTTGACAAAACCCGCCCCAACCCGACCCATTGCCATCCCTAGAAAGAAGGAAAAGGAAGGGCGGTCTTGATTTCTCTATAACATGGTGGTATATGAAAGGTAGGAAAAGACATTGTAACATCATTTTGAGGCGCAATTCCAAGGTAACTAGGCGTCATAAGGGCCACAATGTGATCGTAATGCCTTGTTCACCGAGATGAGGCATTTTTTTCTGATTCGCCAAACCAAGTGTCTAGGCGCGCTACCTTGCTTAATATGTAAAATGGTATTAAGAGTCTAGTAGTCTAGTTCATTTTTGTTAGAGACAAGTGAGACTAGTATATTGGATTTTTGCAGGCATTTCCAAACTGGACAAGTGGTAGAAGGAGAACATCCAAGTGAGGTGTAATCACATATTTTAGAGCTTAGCATCTTTTCCCATTCTTCATTGCCTTATCTCATTTATTCAGTGCACGCAAATCATTCACCAAGTCGATACAAAAAACTCCCCATAAAGATCTCTCTCGGTAAAGTCAATGGGAACTAAACCCATCCAGCCTGCCGCATCTTCTGGTAAGAAAAAACAGAGCATTGCTAGCTTCCTCCCAATACACATTCAACAAAATAGACTAATCAATTAAATCCTCGGCCGCCTTCCTTCCTTGTATATTTCCTTTCTTCTCGATTCCACCGTCACTTCACTTGGAATTGTCTTCTCATTTCCCCCCATTATATAAAGTGCAGATCAGGGAGCTGCAGAGAACAAAACAGAGAAGAAGGGAGACCTGCCTAGAAGCAAAAACAGAGTGGTAACCATGGCCAAGTACTGTTCTTCTCTGCTGCTTCTCGGTTTGAGTTTGAGTGCGCTTCTGGTAGTGGCGTTTGGTGCTGGTGATGGGGAAACCAAGATCGGGACTTATGAGCTCAAGAAAGGGAAGATGTCCCTCAAGGTCACAAACTATGGCGCCCATATGATGTCCTTCATTGTCCCTGACAAATACGGTTAGCTACCCAGCTTCTCTGATCTCGATCTCTTCTTGTATGTATCTTCTCCAGTTAGTTTGCTGGTGCGTTTTCCTTGAATCGAAATCTGGGTTTGCTGCAGGGAAGCTGAATGATGTGATTCTTGGATACGACACTGCTGAAGCTTACAAGGTGAGATCCATCGATCCCAGCTACCTTCATTTCCCTTCAGTTTAGAGATCAATTTCAGTTCTTGATTTTCTTCATCATCATGTTCCAATCCAGGATCCACCAACTTCATTCATATCATAGTAGTAAATGATCATCAGTTCATCACTCTCTCTCTCTCTCTCTCTCTCTCTCTCTCTCTCTCTCTCTCTCTCCTCCCACTCTCTGATGAGAAACACAGCGGCAGGGGGCAACGTTTACAGCTCATCTTTTGCAGAGAAAAAACGTCCCTTTTTTGTCCTGTTGCACAGAAAAGAGGCCTTTTTCATATCTTCCAAAGTGGAGAAAAGATGGGTCTTATCGGATTCCCCCAAAATTGATTTTACTTTTACATTCCTTTGAAATTTCTTATGCTACAATCTCGAGCTTAATCTCAATCATGACCACAAGAATAAAGATGTGCATTGTATTGCATACACCTTTTCTAAGGCTAAGATCCATTTTTTGGCTTTGAAAATCTAGAGAGAGACTCGAGTTACTATAATTCCAAGCACATGCATTGGAATGGTGGATGTGGTTTGGGGACTATATAATATTCTACCCCAAAAAATCTTCAACAACTACGATTGATTATATCCTCTTAATCACAAACTACATTATAGGTAGGTTTTATAGTCATCTGATGAGATCAAGTCATCGCCTTTTTTTTGTCTCAGAATGACACCAACAGTTTCGGAGCCACGGTGGGCAGAGTCGCCAACAGAATCGCCGGCGCTCAGTTCACTCTCAACGGCACCCTCTACAAGTTGATCCCCAACGACGGCAAGAACACCCTTCACGGCGGCCCATTGGGCTTCTCCAAGGTCGTCTGGAAAGTCACCGACTACAAGCCCAACGACGTCGAGCCTTACATTGTCTTCCAATACCTCAGCCCCAATGGCGAACAAGGTATGAGTTATTAGGACAAACTGATTCTTTAACGTATAATGTCACCGCGACATGTTTTAATCCGAAATGTGATCATGTGATCAATAGGGTTCCCTGGCGACGTGGTGGCGGTGGTGAAGTACACTCTCCTAGCCTACAACCAGCTGAGCATCAAGATGAAAGCCAGAGCACTCAACAAGGCGACACCGGTCAACCTGGCCAACCACGCCTACTGGAACCTCGGCGGCCACGACAGCGGCGACATCCTCTCCCAGGAGCTCGAGATCTACGCTTCCCGCTACACCCCGACCGACGGCGAGCTCATCCCCACGGGGAAAGTCGTCTCCGTCGTGGGGACTCCCTACGACTTCCTGAAATCAAACTCCGTGGGGAGCAGAATCGATCAGCTGCAAAAGGGTTACGACATCAACTACGTGCTGGACGACAAGGAGATCATCCGGCGGGGAAACAAGAGAGGGCTGAGGAAGGCGGCGGTGGTTCATGACCGGAAGTCAGGGAGGGTGATGGAGCTGTTCACGAACCAGCCGGCGGTGCAGCTGTACACCAGCGGGTCGCTTGGGGAGACGAAAGGGAAAGGCGGGGTGGTGTACAGGAAGAGTGGGGCACTGTGTTTGGAGACTCAGGGGTATCCTGATGCTGTGAATCATCCCAATTTTCCTTCCACCATTCTTACTCCTTCCAAGCCGTATGAGCACCAGATGCTGCTTAGGTTTTTCACTTCGTAGATTGGTATAATGATGATGTATGAGTTCTAGTCTGGTTTTTGTTGTGCTTGTGAGGTCGGATGAAGAGATTGACCATGGAATTGTGTCTAAATTTCATTGAGCAAAGCAAGTGAGCATATATTCTAGTACTCTTCAATGAACCAATTTTAGAATTGTAAATTGGTGAAACTTTCAATTCAATTCTGCCGTTATAAATTTGAGACCTCCAAATTGAAAATAACTTATATATATGCACTAATTAAATCAATTACTTGTTTGCTTCAACTCCATACTCTTGAAAGAAGTAATGTTGATTCATTTTGACCAGCTATCAAATTAAATCCCTTCTCCATTCTAGCAAACAATAATATTTTAATAATATTGTTGATTTAAATTCCAACCATTTTAGATGAAGATGTGGGCATCGAATCGGTCAGATCAAATTCATGAGAATTGCGGTCTATTGGTGAAAGACATCTTAGGATAAGGACTGGACAATTATTGCTTCGGTTTCATTTGATCCAGTCCAAATGTCAACTCGGTCAAAAAAAATTTCCAATATTTATAAAATCCATGGGTCTAAGACCTTATTATACTCGGTTCGATCTAAACATTGATTTGGTCCGGCACGGACCGGACCAATGTAGTCAAAATCGTGATTCAACGTAGAAGCGTTTTGATGCTCTAGGATCGTAAAAATTAAAGTTTTTAAGCGTATATTTTCACTAAAATTATAAGAAAAAATCATGATTTTAGGTTGAAATGTTTTGATGGCCTAAAAGTGTAATAACGTAAGTTTTAAGTTTTGAAACGCGATTTTAACTACATTAGACCGGACCATTGTGGTTACATCCAACCGGTACGATTTGGTTCAACCAACCCGCGGAATGTGGACTTCATGAATCGTTGGGGCCTCACTGAGGAGTGAGGACAGAGATCTGTTGGGCCGGCTGTTCAACTTATTAGCCCAAGAATACTGAAGTATAGCCCAAGTTGAGATATTAAAGCAAAGAAGCCCGATTCTGAATATGCCTGTGCCACCTGAAGGCTGAAGCAAAATAGCCATTTCCATGGCTGTCTGGAATCTCTGGATGTGTTCTTCTGCGTCCATCACCCTCCCACGGTTTCCCTCTTCGCTCACCCAAATTGGTTCGCAAGCTCCATTTCCCTTTCCTTCTCCAACCAGCGAATTTTCAAGCCTCGTTTATTTTTCTCACAATCGGCTCTGAATATACTTGCACTTGCAGTGGACTGGAAGAAGAAGCTCTGCAAATTTGATTCCTGGAACGACCACAAGAAGGCAGATTCTCCCCCACGAAGTTCTTATCGGCCAAATTGTTCAGTTTGCTCTTCCTCTAACTCTACTCCCTCTTCTGCTTCTTCCTCAATTTTGGTTTCGGAAATGTCTAGCGAGAGGTCGAAGAAGGTGTGGATACTTACACAGAGCAAGCAAGTCATGACTTCTGCTGTGGAGAGAGGGTTGAACACCTTCCTCTTCTTCCCCCAACATCGATTTCTCGCCGAAGAATGGTCTTGTAAACCCTCTCACCACGTTGTTCTACATCTGTGCTTAACATTGTAATTTCATTGATTTGGTTGTGTTCTTAATTGTGTGCAGCAATTGCTTTGATTCGCCCGCTCTTTATCAAGGAAGAAGAGGTTTTGGATTCTGAAAAGCGGAGAATCGCGACGGTTTTCGAAGTTTCCACCCCGCAAGAGTTACAGCTGCTGAACCCAGAAAGTGCAAAGGCTGATAATGTCATCGTTGACTTAAAAGATTGGCAGGTAGAATCACTATTGCCAATGGGGATTACAATCTTCTGCTGATGGCTTAAAGAAGAGTCTAACTTGGGCCTCACACAATGTAATGCTTTGTAAGATGATACCGGCGGAGAACATAGTTGCAGCATTCCAAGGAAGTGGGAAAACGGTATTTGCAATCTCCAAATCGGCTTCTGAGGCACAGACTTTCCTCGAGGTATCACTCTGCATCCATTACTGTGATTGAAAGCATCTTAAGGATGGTAATGTTACACAGCTTATGCGATATCGTGTTTGTTCAGGCTCTAGAGCATGGTTTAGGTGGGGTTGTTCTCAATGTTGAAAAAGTTGAACCTCTACTCGAGCTAAAGGTGATTACTTTTTGAGTGGTTGATTCATGGTTTTACTGAAAGGTCAGGGATTTATGCTTATGTTTGTGTAATCTCATCTCAGGATTATTTAGACAGAAGACATGAAGGACATAATCTTTTGAGTTTATCAAAAGCAACCATAACTCGGATTGAAGCAGTTGGTATGGGTGATCGTGTTTGTGTGGACCTCTGCAGCTTAATGAGACCTGGGGAGGGACTACTGGCATGTCCCTAGATCCTTATTATCTTGAAATGTTTCTTAAACTATTAGGGTAACACTAACACTTTCTGTGGTTGTTATGTATCTCTTGTTCGTTAGGTTGGCTCCTTTGCCAGAGGACTATTCCTTGTTCATTCGGAATGCTTGGAGTCGAATTACATTGCCAGTCGGCCTTTTCGTGTCAATGCTGTGAGTTTCTGCTGCTAAATGCTCTCTAGGTGATACTTGGACAACCATTCTGGTGTTTTTAGATACCCTATTGTGGTACTTTTCCTTCATTTCTGCCCATTGGTTGAACTCGGGAGTGGAAAATAGCTACCCTTTGCAGTATAGTTTTTGAATTTCAAGGAACTTAGTCCAAAAGTATTTTTGTGGGGGATGTTGGTTGGTGCAGGGTCCAGTGCATGCATATGTTTGTATACCTGGAGGGAGGACATGTTACCTCTCAGAGCTCAAGGCAGGAAAAGAAGTTATCATAGCTGACCAGAAGGGCCGCACACGTACTGCAATTACTGGACGCGTGAAGATAGAGACCAGGCCTCTTGTTTTGGTGGAGGCAAAGGTATGAACTATGAAGATGTTGATATTTGCTTGTTGTACGAATTTATATGAGTGCTATTGCTCTTGGTACTGTGTAAAAACTAACGGATCTCTATCACTATGGTTTTGTTCTGTTGCAGATAGAGTCGGAGAGTGAAACGACTTACAGCATCTTCCTACAGAATGCGGAAACAGTTGCCTTAATACCCCCTATTTGCAAAGGTCATTACCGTGTAAATCCCAGACTTAGTTGCCAGCCTTTCAATTGATCTCGTTGCATTAACTCGTTTCAACTTTGTATTATTATTATCTGCAGTTAATGAGCCGCAGCTAGTGACTGCAGTTCCTGTGACTTCACTTAAACTTGGTGATGAAGTTTTGTTGCGAGTACAAGGAGGGGCTCGCCATACGGGAATAGAGATTGAGGAATTCATTGTTGAGTCTTGAAGTCATTCGTATATGTTTTGCGTGCTCTCATCGAAGTAAATCTTCTTGTAAGTACAAGGAAATGCTTGTTGTGTGGCCTTCTCACCTGCACGGAATCTTGGAGGAACAAGGCTTGGTTCTTGCGCTTGGAACGCACACACCTTCACTACTTCGCTGCCAGTACAAGGAAAGGAACATGAGGTCTTTGGAACAATTTGAGGGAGGGGATTGGCGGCTAAGAAGGGGTGGAGTAGCTTAGGGTTAGAATTATGTTTATTTTAGCGTTTTAGGATTTTTTATTTATTTATTAATATGTACTTTGGTTCTTTGTTTCATAAGAAGAAATTAAAATTATCTTTCATTTCAAAAATTATAATTCAAATTCTAAGGAATTGATCTCATGGCAATTTGAGAATTAGAGCATACACCATATTATAAGTTTGAAACTTGTGGTCAACAACCATCTAGAAAATAGAAAACACAATTATTTATCCTTTTTAGTTACGTCGTCGACCTCTTCTCTTTTTCTCTCCCAATTCCTTCTTGAAATCTCTAAATTTTGTCTTTCGTTTAAAAAAATATCTCTAAATTTTGTCTCTAATTATGCTCTTCAATCCCTAAATCTACCTCTAATATCTTTGTTTCTTACACATTCGTCCTCCGCATACCAATGAGTATACATCAAGTAAATTTCGTTTAAATTAAATCATAAGAAACTGTAATTAACGAATAAAAGTTGATATTATCTATCTTTACTCATCCCTCTATAATATATAGCAGTTCTATATTTTGAGCATTTCAAATTTCTTGCACTCTCCTTAATTGTAGCTAGGAGTAAATTTGTAAGTTCAACTTAGAACTTAAATATCTTCTTACGAGAAAAAAATGTCATTACCAAGACTTGAACTTGAGTCCTTCAAATTGATAATCAATATCCCTAACCAACTGGAATACAACAATGTTTAGGTATTTTTTGAATTAAAGAGAGAAAATACTGAAATATCTCAAAATTATAGGACTATCCATCACAACAATCAATCATCGAATTAATTAATAACTGTAATTATTTACAAAGTGAATCATCATGATATACCTAGCTTTATGAATCAACTAAGTGAGTTCCTCTAATCACACAATTCTTCACCAAGAATCAAATAGTACATTTTAAGTTTATGTATGTCTTACAACTTTTACATTCATTAGGTTACATGACTTTGTAGTTTGTAGAAATACAAGGATCGTTTACAAAAGTGCTATACAAAATTTTATTTCAAAACATAAAATTTGACAGTTGTGATCTATGGTTTTGTAACGAGACATTTTCAATGCTATAAGTGAATGACCAAAAATCATTGGCTAACAATTTCCCTAACGGTTGACAATTATAAGCATAGAATTGAAAGACTAAATACCATTGACAAATGAGTCAATTATCATTGGCTAAATTTAACAAACAATGGTGTGTGTATATACATTGAAAATTCTATGGTACGCTCGATGGATTGAGGATTATTGCATCTCCTTAGTAAAATAACATTATCTAGATCATAGATTAATCACGTAACTAAACCCTATATCATAATTCTCTAAATCCTAATATAGTGCATATGGTATGTTGTATACATCTTGACTAATCAAAATCATTGATTATGTTCTTAGTATATGTGATATTAGGGTTTAAGTTCTATAGGTTTAGGGTATATGATTTAATTATTTTGAAACTTAATCTCCCTTTTCAAATTTCCTGCAATGAGAGGGAAATTACGAAGAACATTTTTGTCTACACAATTATCTGTATTTTTTTATTTATTTACAGAAAAAATAGACATATTGAGATTTGAACCATGGTCACTTCAAACAAAGTGAAGGTTTAAAATTAATCAGACTATGTAGATTTGTTGTATTTTTTTAAATTAAAAATATATACGAAGCTAAAATATGAAATCACAAAACTTTTCAACAGCTATCTAGCCCAATAAATATTTGGTAAGTACTTATTTGGTGTTTTGATACTTCAATTTTGATATTTTTTATTTTAATTATAGTTTAATACTTAAATTTAAAATTTTATCTATCTTATAAATAGACGATAACCATAAATTTGCAACCAAAAATTGTTGTTTCGAATATTTCATATCGAATTATGGTATTGAATATGTAGAAGCAATATAGAATTCTTAAATTACCATTAATTTCCAGAACTATAGTGAAGCAATCAGATCTTTGTGCAAACTATAGGAGACTGGTTCTCTGAACATTTTTGTTCGGTTAAATACTAAGTTTTGAAACTCTTCCTAGGGGTGTACGTGGGTCGGTTCGTTTGGGTTTAGATATTTTAATCACCTAATTCATATACCACGATTTTGAAAACACTAAATTCAAACTCACCCAAATAATTTAGAATTTTAACGATTTGTGTCCTCCATACCAAATGAACCAATTTACATGTCGCTTAACTAAAGACTATCTCATTGTCCAATCCCATCATTCTAATGTCAATCCATAAAAGTAACCCATATTCGCGTTTGTTAACACATGTTTCATATTGTCATTACTGTGACCGGTAACTTCGCTGCAACTGATTCGGCATTGCTCATCATATGGCCTCCAAATTGATAAACATATCGGGCCAGCAGTTTTATGACAAAACTCAAAGTGAAGACAACTCATCATTTGGTGGAATTTTGGTGCTTGCTGGTGTCCATTAATCAAATTGCAAGCATAATGATTGCTAAATTAAGCTTTCACGCAACACACTGGGAGTTGGGGGTGTGTACTTGGAGTAAAAGTTGATATTAGGTTTGGGAAGGGATTAAGGGAAGTGGTGAGAGGAAGAAATTGTGTTTGGATTTGGTAGCAGGTAAAGTTCATGGTTTGGTTTCTTTTCGTAAAATGCTTTGATTTATTTTAGTTAGAGGTATAATATCATGGTTATGTGGGATCAAATGAACCAAATATGAGCTTGGGGGATGGAAATTCCAACTTAGAAGGAGTGGATTAGATTTTGATAAACTCAAGTTCGTGATTAACTGAAAGAATATTTAGATTTAGACTTTGTGGTATTGAGATGTCCATAGAGAGTTTAAAACTGATCCAAGGCCATGGATTGATATTGGTTAGTTGATTGTGATTTTGAGGAAGGTGTATAAAAAGTCATGGAAGTAGTTTGCAGTAAGTGGAGGTAGTGAAGGCAGTCAAGAGGCAGTTGGTCAGGGTAGTGATTGAACCAAGGAGGATATTGAAAGACATACAAACAAAATCGGAGCAGTTGAAGAGAGAGAAGTAGTAGATGATCAGGATATTAATGAAAATGGAGAGGGTATTGAAGGGCATGGAAGTGAACTGGATAAGGTGAAGGCAGAGAATGAGGAGAAGAGCATATTGATGGAATTGAAGATGAGTGTTGGTTTTACGAGCTTATTAAAACTACCCCGAGGAAGATGAGTTGGCCAAATACAAGAAAGAGGATTGAGGAGTTGGAAATCAAGCTGACAAGAAACCAATTGAAAGAGAAATTCAAGTTAATGGAGAGAAGGTCCATCAAAGTAGCATAAATGGAGTTGCAGAAGGAGGATTATAAATTGAATTTTGGTTTAAAACATATACGTCGAGAGATTGAAGATGGAGGGGATAAAAAGTTGGTTGTACAACGAAGAGTGGAAACTATTGGAATTATAGTTGTTATGGTTGTTGCAACTACCACAACCTATGTTTATGTTAAAACGAGGAATCATTGATTGATTTACTAAAGTTAAGGTCAATTCACTATTCAAACTACTGGAACCTGTAGATAAGGAGTGTCTAAGTTTGTGCCTTATTACATTGATCGAGTCTATTAGTATATTGGATGTAACTCTAATTTTTTCATTTGCTTTCAAGTATTGATGGTCTCCTTTTAGTTGAGTTGTTAGCATATGATTTACTTGAATCAACAACTCTTCATTTTTGTTTATTTTTATAAATCCATTTCTTTTTTATTAGTGGCATCCATTTATGTGGGATTGTGAGGTTTCATTTCAGTTTCAAACTATCTATGGATCGTGTGGGAATTCCAATGAGCTTTTATATTATATATTTCTAGACAATCTATTAACCAATATCATTTTAATGGGGGCTCAATTATCATTATGAAAATGGGATTAATGATACATTTTTATATTCTTAAATGAGGAGGGTATTTTCCTGAATGTTCGACCTATATATTCATTATTTATGTAGAATCTCGATTGAATGATTTTCAATAAATTTTAACAAATTAATAGACTGAAACATAACATAAAAATATAAATATTAAAATATGAACATTCCGGCCAACGCGCCGGATTATAAACTAGTGTGGTTACAGAACATTTCTTACACCTTGTAAAGTTGTAATGCTAACTAGGGAAACTATACCAAACTGAGAATGAGAGTTGAGACTATTCTCAACTAGCTTATAACCCGGCCCGTTGGCCGGAATGTTCATATTTGATTATTTGTATTTTTATGTTACATTTAAGTCTATCAACCCGTTTAATTTTATTGACAATTCTTCGATCTAGATGATATATAAAGAAAGAATATATAGGTCGAACTTTTGGAGAAATAAGAATATAAAATATAAAAATGATTGATCTCATTTTTATAATGATAATTAAGCCCCAATTAAAATGCTATTGGTTAGTTGATTGTCAAGAAAGATAGAGTACAAAAGCTCATTGGAATTCCCACACGCCATAGATAGTTTGAAACACAATTTTAAACCTCACAATCCTACATAAAGGGTTCAATGCACTCCTTAGGAACAATATGCCACTAATCAAAAAGAAATGGAGAGTTGTTGATTCAAGTCAACTATATACTAACAACTCAATTAAGAGGGGACCAATAAAACTTGAGAGCTAACGACAAAATTAGGGTTACCTCCAATATGCTAATAAACTCTATCGAAGTAATAAAGCACAAAATTAGACACTCTGTATCTATCAGTTCCAATAGGTTGAATAAAGAATCGACCTAGCTGCAAAAACCATAAACCTAAAGGTCCAATAGTCACCACTCTCTGCTGTAGAACCAAATTTTTATCTCAAGAAACATATGTTTCAATAAAAAATTCAATCTCTAATCCTCCTTCTACAACTCCATTTATTGAACTCCATTCTATTTGTCATGGATTGATATCGGAGTTGAAATCTTCTACTTGCCTAGCTTAAATCCCGAATAATAAAATCGTAGTGCCAAGAGATACCAAAAGATTGATTTCAAAGGCGGCCTTGTATTAAAAAGTGAAAGGGGCATAAACTATTGCACGATAGAGGGAATTTCGGAGGAAGTTAAAAGAGATAAGAACAAAGATAAAAAAAAAAACACTAAATTTAAATTTAAATTGAAAATTTCAAGGATACAACACGCAGTAACATAATTAGTTTCTTCTATGGTAGCCAATTATCAATCTACCTTTAGCAAAAAAATTAAGGCGAGAGCAAAAAATTTAAAATTGAGAAAATTACATGAAACTCTAGCTACTATGAAAACTGAAGTATCAAGCACCATAAAAATATATATGGTAGACTTAGTGGGCTTGGTAATCATGATGGAAAATTCATCCAATTTTCAGAGTCTAACTTTGTGTATGCTTTGTACTAAAAAAGATACAACAAATTTGTTTAGTGTAATTGGTTGTGATTGTTGTCTTTGTTTTAAGAGACCCAGGTTTGAATCCTCATATTGATATTTTTATTGAGATAAATATTTAATTGTAAAGACAAAAATGTCCTTCCTACTTTCACTCTAAATCAACAGATATATATATACAGCAGTGTGTATCCGACTTTTGCCCACTCAGCTATTGAAAAGCAATCCCTAATTTGTGGAGGGGCATTTCTGATAAATTACACCTAGATTATAATCCTAGCTCAAACACCACAGCAGGGCTAGGACGGAGGCCCTCACATGAGCATTTAAACGGGCCGGTTACTGCAAAATATGAAAGGGATTTTAATGGCCTGGTTATGTAGGCCTTCACATGAGCATTTTAATGCCCCGGTTATTTAGGCCCGCTACATATGAAAGGGATTGGTGAAATTCTCAATCAGACACCAGCGAAAACAGTTCGCAAATCACAGTGTTGGCACTCTCTCTGTTCACTATTTTTGTATGCACAAAATCCATTCTTTTCGCCGCTTTTAATTCTATTAATTTTTTTTAACTTCACTGTTCAACAAAATTATATTTGATTTCGATATCTCATTTCACATATTTTCCAACCAAATCCTCCCTTTAAGTGTGGACGTTGGTTTTCGGCCTCCAACTTTGATTATGGTTAATTTAACCCCAAAGAATAATCATGGCATTTTAGGTTCAATAGAGAAATAAATAATTTTTGAATATTAAGTTAATTGTAAATATTGATTTGGAAAATGTTGAGAAATATATATATTGAAACGGACAATAGAAATTATGTAATTCACCACCAAATTTAAAAAGCTGATAGAAGTTGCATGTTGCATTGGATGAAAGTTGTCGCAATATTTTATTAAAAAATTGGAGTGTTCTTCCCCCCTCCCCCGGTGAATAGTGTTCGAATGATATGGATAGTGGGCAAATTTTTTTTTTTTTTTCTCCAGAGCCTATGCCAAAACATATGAAGCATACATTAGTGGTAGGATAAATGAATGGAATTTCCAACACAAGCATACCTTGGATGTTATAAATAGTTGAGCCCCTTTAGCTTAGAAAATATATTTAAGCTTTACATCAATAGCTAATAATTGTTGGCTATTAGTTACGTGTCAATATAAACCTATAATTAAGTCACAACAATTAGACAACCCTGCAAATAGAGGAGTAGGCATCAACACTGAGTGAATCAGAGGGGCTAACATTCTTCCAAGTAAATGTGGTGATCTTTATATAAATACGACCACTACAAATATGCAACAGTTGAGATTATGGATAACATTTACGGTGACTCTTATACATACAGAAATGCAAGCAACATGTTCTAATGCTCTGTAAGAGTATGGAACTTGGAAGCTAGCATAAAGAATGGTTCACAGTTGCACCAAGATATTATCAGGGTTATATATAGGAATAGAGAAGTGGTATATGATTTATTATCGAAGCTCATCCAACAATTCAATATTATTGATAACAAAAATAAACAAAGCAGCAAGAAGAAAAAATTATCACCCAAGGGTTGCTTACAAGCTACAAGGAGCTCACTTAGCGATGCTCCGATGAGTTGGAACAATTGCACTCCAATTGGGGGGGGGGGGGGGGGGGGGGGGGGGGGGGGGGGGGGGGGGAAGGTCATGATAGCATTGTTTAAAAACTCAATAGGTGGCCAAAGGTCAAAATATTCCTATTGGACATCGAGCTGAGAAAGGAAGAGGCGACAGTGGAATGCCCTTTCTACAATCTAGAGGAAACCCAGAATCATATATTGAGGGAATGTCAGTGGGCAATTCACATTTGGAGATCGTCCATGTTCAGACCACTATTAGAGCTAGAACCTAACCTATCATCTAGCAGTTGGCTATGTGCAGTAATGGATCGAACGGAGGATGAAATGCTAGAGAAACTAAGCATCATTTTGTGGTCGATCTGGAATGAACGAAATAATCAGATGTTCAATAAGGAAAAAGCGGAGGAATGGGAAATCATTCGTCGTGCCCTAGACTATTGGGAAGAGTTTAAATCGCACCATACTTTGGAGAAGGAGGAAAGATCAGAGTGGAAGAATACCTGGAAAAAACCTCATGTATCGATAATGAACCGGCCCATACCATGGCCCATTTGGCATGTATCTGGGACCAAACAGAATTCTTGACCATAAGACCTCCTATTGCTATCCTTTCTTCTTTGGTGAAGGATGACATAATTTATGAATAAAATTAGAGAAATTTTACAATGCTATATAGTATTGGTGCTATAGGGTTTTGCCTCTATGGTACAACTTAAAATTGTACATTTACGTTATGATACAACTTCAGATTGTACCTATACTTTTTGTACAAATTCTTTTATGGTACAACTTGAACTTGTACATTTATGTGATGGTACAACTTCAAGTTGTAAAGTTGTACCATAACATAATGATACAAATTGCTTTATGGTACAACCTAAACTTATACATTTAATGTTATGGTACAACTTTAAGCTGTACTTTAAAGCACCAATACTATATAGCATAGTAGAAGTGCTCATAAAATTACAGGTTTCTATAAAAAAAAAACTCAATAGGTTTTTGCTTTACATTATCGAAGGGCCAAATAGAAGTTACATTAACCAGGTTGTAACAAAGGAGAATAGGCAAATGGATCTTATGACATCAATGTTTCAACCACAAATTAAGGTTGCCACTAACACCATTGAAAATACAATATTGTGAAAAGAAAAAGAGAATTCACGACTATTTACTACAAACAAACGGGCTAAAAGGACACCAAAACGGACCATAAATGGAATAACCACACCCGGCCAACTGGCCGGGCAAAGTGCTAGTTTGAAATGGAGAAAAGTTCACAAAACTCTACCATATATTATTGGAGGACGCCACCAATCACTCGACTCGTGGAAAGGGAAAGAGAAAGACCCTTTGCTCCCTTGAGGTCTGAGGGTATATAAATTGTTTTCCTCGTATCTTCTACTCTACGGTCTACCCCACCACCATCAAGCACAAAACCCTTACCCAGCCAAAACCCCATTTCCTTACACCGTTCCCTTTCCCGGGCTTTCTTGGACAAAAATGGTGGCCGGCAACGGAAAGAAATCCAAGCTCAATGAAGAGCAGCAACACCCTCCTGCTGATCATATTGATGTGGAGCTTCAACTCTCACTTGAGAAGTTAAAAGACGTCCAGGATGAGCTCGACAAGGTTTCTCTCTTCCCTCCCTTTTCTAAGTCCTCTCTTTTTCCGTTCCTTCTGTTTGCCTGCTGTTGTGTATGACTACTAGAGTAGACTCCCTTGTGCTCTTCTTGTTTGTTGACGCTTCTCGTTTGAGGAAGGGGTTTCGAAAGGTGCAATCTTTAGGAGATAACCCTAAAAGGCCGGCCCTTTTGTTTTTTGCTTGAAATGTGGAGTGTTGTCTTTGAGAAAAAGAACAGTAATTAGTTGTTTTGACCTATGAAAGCTTGGTGCTTTTTCATCTTGTAACTTGGACAGATCCATGAGGAAGAGAGTGACGAAGTCTTGGCAATTGAACAGAAGTATAACGAGGTCCGCAGACCCATCTACCTCAATAGGAATGAGCTCATAAAGTCTATGCCTGACTTCTGGTTGACGGCTGTAAGTGTGATGGATTCCTTATTGCGAACAGAACTTCTGGTTTCCCGGCTTAATCAATGGCGAATTAGTATCTTACTTTTGCTTTTGGATGGGGTATATGTCACAGTTCATGAGTCATCCTGCTCTTGGTGATCTCCTGACTGGTGACGATGACCATGAGGTTTGATATCACTGCTAGTTTATTATTATTGATACTAATTGCTGTTATGGTACTATTAACTGCATGGGTTAAGCTTGAATTCCAAATGTGCAGATCTTAAAGTATGTGGAGTCCCTTGATGTTGCTGATTTCAAGGATCTGAAAACTGGCTACTCCATCACATTTGTATGTTGAATATTCTGACTCTACTTGCTCATTGTTTTGAAATGCTTGTGGTGTTGTTTCCAACTTTGAGGAGATCTCATTATTAGGTTATAAGCTTATTATTCTCTATTGTTTCTCTGTCATTTCAGAATTTCAAGGAGAACCCTTATTTCCATGACACAAAGCTAACAAAAACCTACAATTTCTCGGATGATGGCACAACTAAGATAACTGGTACAGACATCAAGTGGAAGGAGGGCAGGGTAAGGCTGCAACTACTATCCCATTAGAATCTTCTAAGAGTTCACTCCATGTTTTGGCTTTCGATTCTGAGCTTTTTCTTGTGAAGGACCCTGCCAAAAACGGAGTTGATGATGAGAAAAAGAAGGGAAACAAGCGACCTTGGACTGAGACGAGGTTGTTTATTGTATCTTTTTAACTACTGTCTGTAGTTTCTTATGTACAACTCACTGACTGATGTTTGTCAATGAGAATTGATGTTGATCGATTATTTTTTTGTTTGCAGCTTTTTCGGTTGGTTTGGTGAAACTGAGCAGGACATCTCCGAACTTCAGGATGATGTGAGGAATCGTGTTCCGTAAAACTAGATTCTACATTTTTAATTCAGCGTGTTCTTATATGGACTTCACTCGTCAATGTATCAGGTGTCGGAGATAATCAAGGAGGATCTGTGGCCGAATCCCCTGAAGTACTTCAACATGGTAATCGTTTTTATACTGCATGTTCCTCTTTGCTATCGTGTTGTTTCTTTCTGTTGGCGAGTGAAAATGAGTTTAGTATTGATAGCTCGGTCACTGAGAATTTAATTTGCTTATGCTCTCTTTTATGCCTTGCCCATATAGGACGCTGATGAAGAGGATTCTGATGAAGATGAGGAGGTAAACTGCACTTCTCATTGTAGCATGAAAGCTCAGAAAGATAATACTTTGCTGTAGTAGCAGCTGTCTAAGCTTTTGTCTTGCGAAATCTACAGGAAAGTGGTGATGATGGTGACGGGGAAGATGATGCAGGCGAAGATGGCGTCAAGGAAGAGTAGTGGAGCTTTAATCTCCCACCAGTTAGTTCATTTAGTTGAGCATTAGCTTTCTTTACCAGACTCTGGAGAAGCATTATGAGTTAGGATTTAGGAAATGCAGGAAGTTCAGTAGAGTAGTTGCCTAGTGAAGCTACAGCAGTTTGCGTATATTTGGAACCCTGTATGCTGGATCATTACAATAGCGACTGTCATGCTTTATTTTTTATATCAAGTTTTGCTCGTACAAGCCATGTCAAAATGTTGTTGGGTTCAACTCCTAATTTCAACCCATAATTGACCCAAATACGTCTATAGATAACTGGACCATAATTGCAGCATCGGAACAATCTTATACAAGGGCTGTTAACAAGCCATTACAGCTTTCAACATTGCTGGTACAAGTTCAGATTTAGCAATCCCACGTTAGAATTTCGTATACTATTCTACACTATGACAAAACCAGCTCGAAAGATTGTAAGTTCCTTCATCTAAGAAGATAGTACGGATTAAACCCATCGTAAAGTGCAGCAGCAGCATCATCTACCAACTCACAGCCAAACTGGTGTGCAGCAGAGACACCAGCATTCTTCTCGTGCGATCTCAGTACCAGCGAAAACAGATTAAGGATCAATGGATTACTGAAGAAGCATTCAATACTTTTCCCGAGTTCAACAACATCAGATAAGATACCTATTCCATCCTTGAATTCCCCGTTCAAGATGCAGTATGAGATGGCGTGAAACCCAAGCAAATTCCCATACACAGGCAGAAAAGCATCCTTGTGGTTACCCAAACCACCAATCCACTCAACTCCTCCAAGTTTTCCAACAAAGTTTTCGGCAAATAACTTGAGCTGGTTAGCAAATTTCATCCTCCACAAATACAGGTCGACAGCTGGAAGAGGAAGCTTCTCAAGATGGGAGCAACAGATCTGGCATATCAACAACTTCTCCTCATGGTGGTTATCAATCTCCTTGTCAAAAACTCGTCTCACGAGATCATCACCACCAGAAGAAGAAACAAAAGAGGTTGTTGCTGCTATGTCCAGTACCCACTGTAAGAGGTAAGTGAAGTAAGGAATCCAGTGGCCGAAGATGGAGGAAAGATGGGAAAAGCTGAGCTCGATCACTCTTTCCACTTGGGTTGGAACACCACTGACTTCCCGACGATGGTGAAAGTGTTTCTGAACATTTTGTGCGACTTCCTGTCTAATTCCATCATCTTCATCCTCCATCAACTTGATGCTAGTGAACCATATCTCGAGAACTTGAGAAGCATATAAGTTTGGCAAACCTTTTGAGGAAGAAGCATTATATGGCGGATCAGAGTTGAATACAGAAGAACCGAGGAGTTCTGCTTGCCCGAGCAAACTCGATGCTGTTATAGCTTCAGCAACTGCCATGCGCATGTTTACTGGTTCAGATGAGGAGCTATGGCATTTGATCAAGTCAACAAAAAAGGTGATGGATCGAATCAAATATATTGGGGTCTCCAGTTGATTTGATTCAGTGGACGAAAGAGGAGAGCTGGTGAATAGGGCTGCGAACTGCTTCACACATATGGCCATGCAACAGATGAGTTTCTCCTTGGTCTTTAAATGTCTTGTGACCTTGTATAATGACTGCAACTTATCCCAAAACTGGGATATTTGGCAAAGATCCAATTGGCAGACATAATCAGTGCCATCAAGATCTCGGTTATCACCAGTCTTCTCAAACAGTAACATGTTCCAGGTGAAAATAACCCTGAGAATGTAGTATACACACCGACGATTGTTCTCCGAGTCCAAGAGGCTCATCATGGTTTTCTGAAGGCTTGATCTAGTCCATTCTTCAATAGTTTTTGCCATCTCTCCAGGGAGAAAATCATGCTTCAGGAACTTAAGCACCCATTTCAGTGTCACCAGTCGAACTTCATATGATGAATCTTTCAAGGAAAGCGTCAGCCTCTCTTGGAGTCCAACAAAGGCTTCAGTTTCAACTTTAGGCCTCTGAAGGAAGCAACTGAAATAAGAGCGCGTAGCTTGCTCCCGAAGCTCAGCTACCGTGGGATCATAAGAAACCATTTTATAAGAATCTTCAGCATCTAAGCATCCTGTAGAGAGTTCCAAAAGCAGCTGGCGAATATTAAGAAGATTATCGTTGATACTGAGCATGTGATCCACCACCTGTAGAAAGGATGTATTTAAGATAGGGCAAGGGCAGCTTTTGGGGTAACATATCCAAGAGCATTGCACTAGAATCTGGACCAAATCGTGGAGAATCTGTTCTTTCTTCCCAAAATCAGCCAGGTTTCTGCAATTAACATCAAGAAGACAACTGAGCTGCAATAACATCCCGTGTGTTGAGTTGAAAGAAGCCGAGGTAGCTTTCTTGACTGGACTGTTGGAGTGAGGTAGTTCGGAGGCGATGGTCAAGAGGACATGCGGCAGTCTCTCATTGGATACTAGCCCCGTTAAGGCTTTAGCAGCAAGAACACGGACTCGTAGATTGCTTTGGGTAGAGCATTTCCTGATGAATGGCATAAACAAGAAGGGATCCAGATTGTCTCCCTTCTCACTAGAAATAGTTGAAGGCTTGAGCCTGGATAGAAGAATCAAAATTGGACATAAACTTGGATGGACAACTTTTGCTAGGTTGGATCCCGAATGCCCAGGTTTTGCATCTTCAAGCAGATCAGTTGCAACTTTCAGTTCCTTGAGAAGAAATGAGTGCAGTAAAGGGTACCTAAGCCAACCAAATATAATCAGAGACTTCCCTTTCAGGTAACACAATGAGAAAAAACTGAAAGGGGCAAGCCAAAGAATCCTAATCAGTCAAGACCGAGAAACCATACCGATGGAAAAACTCGAGGCCAGTTAAGGCACGACGTGCAGAATCCCTTTTCAGAACGTTTAAGAACCCAACCATACGCCGTACTAGTGCAGTATATGCCAAACAAGCTGCGTTCCTTACCTCCCAGTATGGGGAAGAAAAAGAGCTAATTGAGATAATTACAGCCTCTGCAGCGAACCCGGATGTATCAGTAGCCAAATTTGCATCGTTGAAAGCGGCTCTAAGAACATTAAAGGCATGTACAGTTGGAACTACACCCTCATCTCGTATTTTTGAGGCCTTCTGCATCTCACAAGTCTCGTACTGGTGCTGTTCGGAATCGGGGACTTGATCTGATTTTGCTGAGGAAGTGGCATCATTCAGTCTAAGCAAAGAGCCATTAGCCAAATCAATTAGCCATCGAAGAGCTTGTGGGAGAAGCTTTTTGGGTGAACCTTCTGGTTCTGAAAGAAACAGAGCAATAAATGCTGCCGGGATGCCGGCGCTTCTCCTCAACAAATCATCCACAGTTTGTCCCTTTACCACAGTTCTTTCCATAAGTTGTTCCATCCACGACTCTGTCAACTTGCATAGTCTAGAAGACACAAAAGACATATCAGCATCATATACATGAATGAAGTTATTATATAAATTAGTCTCCCGTTTCATGGACAAGCCAAAAAAGTATATTATAAACTACCCAAAAAAAAAGTCCAATTGAGCTTGTTCAATCTGAATCAGGGTCTAAAACTGTTGTTGCCTTTCTCTACTGAAAGAAAAGTCCCTTTGGATTCTGGAAATAGGATCTATACACTGCCGGAAGAAAAGGGAAAAAGAAAAACTTACTCTGGATCATTAGAACAAAGCAGACGGTTGCAAAGAGCAGTAAATCCAGCCCTCGTCTTATCAATTGCTCCATTATGCTTCATCTTAAGAAGTACTTCCAAGAAGTGCCTTCCAATTTGCTCAAGCCGTTCCATATCAAGCACAGCATTGGATGTTGTTTCAAGGTTAGCAGCATCTGAAAATTTGGGTAGCTGCTCCAGTGGATCTGAAAAACTGTTTGTTGGTAAAGGAATTTTTCGCATGACAGTTCCAAGAAGAAGACTCACCTGAAACCATTACAGAAAAGGAAAAGTTACTTACAGATCAATTGACTCCAAGTACCCATGCCAGACCAGCCAGAGTAATTAGAATGAAAAAGTATAAGAAATGTACCTCTTTCATAGCCAACCAGCAAGAGTAAATAGAATGAAAAAGTATAAGAAATGTACCTCTTTCATAGCCAACCAGCAACCAACCATGACAATCTGTTCGGACATCCTGTTGCCATGCTCAAGTTTTGAATCAATGCCACCTTGCTCAGATGAGAGTTCCACAACATCCATCTCACCTACCAAGTAAGAATCTTCATCATCCATCTCATCCATCTCAGGTATATACCAGGCATCAGCAGAAACCACCGCAAGTGCCAAGTTTGTGATTCTCATAACCAGATCCAAGAGTTTCTCCAATGCAGATCTCATGTCTAAGCTGCTAGACATGACTGCCTCAGAATTCCAATCCAGTTCCTCAAATGTATACCTCAATGCAAGCAACACCCCGTGAACAAAGCTGCTCTTACAAGCTTCATGGAGATCTTTCTCCCCTTCTTCCACTGCAGCATCCAACCAATCAATCAAAGATTTAATGTACTCCACAACAGGAGTTGAAGGTTGAACCATCTGGCCACCAGCCCCATTGGATACTTGATGATATGATGATCTCTCAAAACATACGACATTAACAGAAGCTCTAACAGTCCATCCTAGCTCCGTTACATACTTCTGAAATATGAGCCTTAAAGTTAGTGCACCTGCATCACTTTCTCTCACCCGTGGACTGCAAACTAATCTCTGAGCCCAAATGATTACTTTCTTGACCATTTCAGCAGACTCGACGCCAGGAAGCGGGGTAGGGAAATGAAGCAAAATACGAAAAGAACTCTCTCTGAGCCTATCCCAACTATCTATAACAGATCCAACCAGCAACAAGGTTGAATCAGGTGAACTGATGGAATTACTGTATGGATGGAGGCAGCTCCCAGAGTCGTCCTGCGAAGGTCTGATAGACCATACATTGAGCATAATCTGTATGAGTTCCATTGCCATGATTTTTCTCCGGTAAGGGGCAGAGGGATAGCATGAGAAGAATAAAAAACAAGCAAGCCATCTCATAAAACTAAAAAGATCCGCTGCCCTTTCAATGCCAACTTCCCCGTTTGAAAACGGTTCAGTTATTTTGCCTAAAGGTTTCCAGCCATGCTGCTTAAATTGTCTCTCCAATGCAGTTCGAACCCGAGAGAAGAACTTCCTGAACAAGCTTGACCACTTCATCTGAAAACCCGTTGAGCAACTTCTCATGTTCAGAGGCACAGCTTCTTTGAGGAGAGCGAGTTCCAAATGAGAAGGAAGACTAGATGTCTTAGGATTCAGAAAAAGAGTCTCAGCTGCATCCACTCGAAGTGACTCATCAACATGAGTCAAAGCCATTACTAGCCAGTCGACAGGGACCTTAACCATTATCCCTTTAATGCATACAATACCATAAGAACCCACGAGTTCTGCTCCCTTTACACAATCAAGTGGAACATTATCATCTGAACTGGTATCAGATAAATCAATATCTCCATCCAGCAATGCAAGTGAACGTGATACCTTAAGCAAAGAGATTAAGACAGCCACCTTTTCTCCAATCCCAAGTTCCAAGTTCCAGCAAGTAAGCTCAGGATGTGAAATTCCACTTTCCTTGCCGTTTGGCCCGATTGAGATGAAAGCAAGCATAGGAAATATGCTATCCACATCAACTTCAAGCAGAGCAGGGAGCGCATAAGTGTTGAGATTTGAGCGAAGCTTTGATATTCCAGAAGCAAGACCACTAAGAAAAGGGGGCAGAGAATATCCTCTGTAAAGTTCATAACCTGTCTCCACACCATTATTGTTCCAACATTCATCTCTCAAGATTTCAAGAAAACATTTTAAGAAAGATGTGGCAGCACAGCACACATCATCATCTAAGTACGCTTGCGCTGTTTCATCCATCAAGTCAGAGTTCATGTCCAGCAAAGCCAGTGCTCCCAGCCTCTTAGTCAGTGCAGCCAAGGGAGCATATCTTCCCTTACAACGAGCCCCCATACGTAGTACATGGGAAGCAATATTTACAAGAAATGGCTTGATACCCTTGCTGTCAACTCCTGAATGAAGGTTTGACTGAATATCTAGGAAAAGATCAAACGTTAGATGGACTTGTTTCACTGTCTGACTTAAAGGATCTTCCAAATTATTCCATATAATCCTTAGAATTCGGGTCCCCATGTCCTCTGGGATAGGATTGTAGTCGCCTGATTGCTCAGTCAGATGACTCAAAATTGAAGTCTTCATCTGTTGCAAACAAATTTGCATCACTGTAAGCGAATGGAAATTAAAATGGCTGTCCGAAGGGTTCTCACAATAGTTACAAAGCTCCAGGAAGATACCATCATACAAAATGGTCTTGACAGAGGATAAAGAATCTTCATATCCCTCGAGTTTACCGCTTTTTACCAGAAATTGCCTAGTAAGTACTGTCCTTGAGACAGCAGTAAGAATCCCTCTAATCAAGCAAAGCCTGCTCAAAAGAGATAAATTATGTACTTCTTGACAAAAATCCCCTTTGTATGGAACCTTCTGCAAAGCATCACTAAACACTCCATTGTCGCCATTATCAATCAGAGAACATGAAGTGAACTGTTTAAGAATACCTTGAGCAATAAGCAACCCAAGCTCTTCAGCACTGAGAGACGCTTGCAAAGCAGCACACAAGCTCACTCCAGCTGCCACAAAACAATCCCTCGTAAAAGCCACTGATTTCAACACACTTATCAAAACCTTAAATACCCTCTCCAAAACTTTCGGTTCGCCTTCACCATCGACATTATTCGAATCCTTGAGATTTCCTGGGAACCGCTGAAGCAAGTAGTACAAACAAGACATTGCATCCTGGCATTGCTCCAGAACAACAGGAGACGGCCTCGCCTGCTGTTCAGTCTCCGAAACCACACTTTCCAACCCAATAACTACATCCCAAGCAACCAGAAATGCGCAATCTTCAATTATCTCCACCAAATAACCCAACTTGGGCATACCCATAAAAGACAAGGCCACTTTCGACAAACAGAACCGCTTCTTCTTCTTCAGCGCCCCATTATACTCCTTACAGAGTTCGGCAAAACACTTGCGGACCAAAAATTGCCTGTCGCCGTCGCTAATTCTCGACAACCCAGATACTAAAGTTCGATGCAGAGGAGGTGAGTTCTCCATGAACAAAACTTCCAAGTAAAAACGAGAAGCTAATTCCAAAAGACTGGCGTCAATTTCACCATCTCTAACTAAGTTGGAGAAGGAAGAAGCCAGGGCCTTGGCATGGGCTACTTGAGTGTAGATGGAAGTCAGCGAAATCAAATGGTTGAGGTCTCCGACGAAAGCTGAACACTTTGGATTGGAATTGGATGCTAAGAGAGAGCGGGACAAGGTGCCTGTATATGAGGGCGGGAAAATCACGGCGTTGTATGTGTAACGGTGACGGTGCTGCAGTGCCCGCCATTTCGCAGACATGCCGCCGATCAATTGCTGCAGTTCCCCCTGCTCCCAGGCTTCAGTACTACCTGAGACAGGCGGCGGCGGCCAGTAAAGGAAAAGTTTCTGCTCTGCCTGTTCTTCGCCGGTGGAAAAATCGATGACTGAGAGAGTCGAAGTTAGGGCAAAGAAAGCGGGAAGACTGGTGGTTTAATCCGTTAGGCCCAGCAGATAAATGGGCTTCTTTCTTTGTAGGCTCAAGCTCTCAACTGCAGGCTTACTTTCATCAGCCAATCATAGATACCCAGCCCATTAACAGTCTAACCCATTTTGATTTACTTTGGGTCGTTTGATGAGATAATTGTCAATGTGGTATTTGTATAGTCAAATAACTCATTTATAGGTATTTCAGTGTTATTTTATTGGTAATTGAAATAAAGTATCTCGTTTGGTTAAATCATGCAAATGTGGTATTTGGTAGAAGCAGAGTGGTAAAACAAGTTATTTCAAAATAACACATGGGTATGAGTTATTTCAAATAACTCGTTTTGAGTTATTTGTAAATAAATCATTTTCCAAGTAACTCATTTCAGTAAAACGCTGTCAAACGAGTTATTTGTATCCAAATAACTCACAAATAACTCATACAAATACTCCATCCAAATAACCCCTTAGGTTGATATGTTTAGGGGTGTGCAACGGTCCGGACATGACCGAATCAAACTTATAAGAATCGCGATCCATTAATAAAATACATCTTACACCAAGGACCGAAACATTAATGCATTCAATCCATATTTCGTTAACCCAACCTTTGGCTGAGTTAGATGGCTTCCACACCACATGTTAAATTCCGATATCTTTTTTTAGGCATGATTGCTTTGCAGCAGTGTGGCTGTTAGAGTAGTGTTAGTGTTAGGTCGCCTATCCGCAACACATATTAGGACATCTGTTAACCTTCCTCTCAGGCCATCAGAAAGCGACTGATTAATTACTTGATGTGCAAATAAGATATGAATTGTTGCTCCAGGTGCTCAGTCGTGGCCATACCTAAAGCAGCCACATGGAAGATGGAATATCGTTCTGTTCCAAAACTAGCGCATGTTAGTTTTTCTAAATCCTTGTAAAACGGTTTCGTTATTGGAAGAATGGTGAGAGTTGCGAGTGAAGATGGAATCAGCAAACATAATACGGCGAGGAAAGCCACAAAGATTTTCTTTTTCCACCGGGAAAGTTGACGAATGACGATCGCACTACTGACGATCAAAGTCCAGTGGTGGCTTTTGAAGCATTGATTTAGCTAAGCCTACCTTAATTACGGCACTAATTAATACAAATCTCTTGGTCGCCAACTAATATTGCACGATCCCCTCATGCACCACGAGCTGAGCCACGTGGATGCTCCACTCCTTCCTCAAATCAAACCCTAACTAGCTACTACTCCGTTATCATTCTACATTAATCATTCTCCACCCTCCAAACTTGATTGATTTGACATTTCATCATGTATGATGAAATCGTGGGTCGACATATATGCAATCGTTGAATTGATGCGATGATATTTTGAATAGTAACGTCAACATTATTATGATAAATAAGGTAAAGAACAATTTTACAACTACATTAATGTTTGTGGTTGAATTTGTTTCTGGAACATTTGATTAATTTGATTGATGTCGTTATAATGATCGATGTCGGTATGTGTTAACTAGCTTTCAGCCTTTCACCCATTCGATTGTTGGATTGGAGCAATGATAAAATGTATAACAACGTCAATTTGTCTAACATAAAATATAATTAAACCAACAACGTCAAGAACAACCTGGGGCTGCGTGCATTTGATTACCATGTTTGAACAATCCGAGGTTTCTTTTTACCCCCCGACAATTAGGGGTGAAGGACCGGTCGGTTCGGTTATAACCGAAAACCAAAGTGTTTGTTACTGGTTAACCGAACCACCTCCCAACTCTACCGGCCACCCATCGAATGAGGGCTTAATACTTCGATTATCTCGATTTTTGATTAACCGAACCGCCTCCCAAGACTAAAACCATCTTGCCCAGCCTTCGAACACCGACCGACTTTCGCTTATTTCGATTTTCGATTAGTGGATAACCGAGCGATTTCAGTTATGAACCGTCGGTTAACCACTAACCGATTGTCGGTCCTGCCCGCAATAATTACTAGACATGACGTGGGTGTCGCCGGCTTTTTCTCTCGCAAACTTTGACCCCCCGGCAATACGCACGGCGACAACCCACAAACAACAGTAAGTAAGTTATAATAATATGATTAGAATAACAAGTAAAAAACCAACACACGCACAATAAGCAGCCTTACACGTCGACCTAGCTAGCTGCCTATAAATACCAGTAATCCTCCCCGAACTGCTTCTCTCAGCCATTATTAGTGATAAAGAATTCAATTAATCTCTCTCTCTCTCTCTCTAGAAGAGAGCTATGACAGTCAGGAATAACAGGGAGTCTCCGGCGGAGAGGGATCACGATCGTGAGACCAGTTGTTATTGGGAGGAGGAGGATTTGGAGCGGCGGCTGAGGAGGAAAGGGTATGTGCATAGCCAGGTGATGCGGATTCGGGAGGAGGATTCGCATATGGGCCAGGATCTCCTCGACGACGTTTTGAAAGCCGGCGCCGGCGCCGGGGTTGATCATAATAACTATGGCTTGATGATCAAGAATATGGTGGCTGCGGCTTCGTCATCGCCGGTGATCATGAATGATCGAGTAGTGGTGTTGTTGACGAGACCGCTGTTGCCTTCCTCCCCTCTTAGCCGTAAAACCACCGTCAATTAATCATCAGCCCTTCCCCCCATCACAGGTACAAATTTGTTCATTCTTTTTTCCTGTTCTGTAATGTCTTTAATTAGTTTTCTCTCTGTGATTAAAATGGATCGTGAGGTTAAGATTGTTTTCTTTCTCCGGGGCTGAAGAACAGAGAGAGATCGATTGGCCGACGGCTGGACTTAATTGGGACGTGCCACGTGGGCAGGATGGATCGAGTTGGTGTTTATGTTTTAATTTCTTTTTACTGGTAAATTTCATGTAGTTAGGTGTCAAATATGGTAATTTGTGAGGAAGACAAGGAGAGATGATACTCTGTAAATTAGCGTGTGGAAGTCGTCCGTTCTTGTACAGAACTGAGATGCTATAATCTCTTCACCAAAACCTGCGATAAAATCCCTTAACTTCATTTCCCCCAGTCACCGTTTCCTCTATTGTATGGTGCGTGCATACAATACAAGGTTATCCATCTCATAATTATTGTTTACTGTTTTCTTTTTGTTCTTTTTATCAGGGACGGACTCAGGAATTTAAATAGGGGGGCCGATAAAAATTTTGAAGTAAAAGTTTATTATGTTATTTATCAAACTTAGGTGCCAAATCATAAGGAATGCCAAATTTAAGAGAAAATGTGTACTAAAATGAAAACATTTGGTACCAAATCGCACATGCATAACTTGGGATTAAGAAGCAAAATTTCATGAATTTAAACGATTCATGCAAATTTTAGGTACCAAATCGTTTAGGTACCAAATCGTAAGACAATGAGCAAAAAATGTACCAAAATGAAAAATTAGGTACCAAATCGTAAAGCATGCAAAATTTGACGTAAAGAAGCAAAATTTTATAAAATTAAAAGCTGCGGCTAGCAACCGTCAATCCTAGGACCTCCCCTTCAAAATCAAATGTTACTCACCACTAGACCACACCTTGTGTTATGTATTCTTGGTGCAAAGTCAAAGTTTAATATTTTAGGGCCTTACACGCTAACTCCGTCCCTGCTTTTTATACAATTCTTAGAAAAAAATCATCATGTCTCGTGAATACTCGACAAATTCATAAAAACTCAGATTAATAATCACTAAAAAATTCAAAATAGTATATTAGAACAACCAAACTCGAGATTACACCAGGTCATCTCCATTCCTTGACACTTGAGCCAGTCCATGCCTAGCTTTCAGCTAATTAGATGGACATATGTTGTTGACTAGTCAAAGAACTATGCTTTTTGGCTTGAAGATTTACATAGCCTGAAGGTCTAAGGAGGAGGAGGAACAAGCAATTGGGTTCTGATTCCCTTTTTGGTTGGTTTTAACTTTTAAGCTTTAACTAACTCGAACAAGTCGGGCCCTTAGAGCCGGCCTGAACCAGATATCTATCGATCCACATCTGAGCCGTGAGCCCATCCAAGACAAAAGTCCTCCCGATGGCCCATCTAAGCCCCCGAGGCCCAGACTTAAAACTGAACTGCTCAACTTAGGCGAGTTAGCGGGTGTCTCTCCTCTTGTGCCACTCACCTCCTGACTTTGCACAAACCTGTCCTCATTTGTGATTTTCATTACTCAAATGTCATTTTTAGTCGTAATAACTAACAAAACGAAATTATTAAAAGTTGGTGATTAGATTCCTCAACCACTATGATAAAAGGTTCCAATCCATGCTCCCATGAAAATCGAACCATTTACTCTTTTATTATAGATAACAAGAAACTTTAGTTCTTACTATTAATGAGTGACGACGGACAATTCACAAGAGAAACGAATTTTTCTAGATCGACTAGTCAAGGCAGGCCATTGTCACAATGAGAAAGAAAGAAGTTCTGAGGTGTCCCTTACTGTATGAAAAAGCTAACCATTGCTGAAGAACAAGAGAAAGACGTGCTTGGATTGGTCCACACATGGGTTTGCCTTTGGGCTAGGGAATGATGAACAAACACAATTTGGCTCCTTATTCTTGGACTGAGGAAATGATAATGATAGTCTAATCGACTGGAAATAGCATTATCAGAAGTCAGAACGATTGTTTCGTTTTCAAGAGGGGGGATTTGGATTGGAGAGTGGGCAGTAGTACAATAGGATTGAGGTTGCCAACTGACCTACTTACCCACTGTGTGTCAAGCTCAAGTTCAATTCCGTTGAGGAGGGTGCCTCTTTCATGCATTTTGTTTTAGGGTTTTGGAGGCATTCATGTTCCATGAACCTGAAATCATTTTTGCAATTTGGGCAGAGGTGATGGTGATAATGACCGGGTGTATATCGGTATTCAACAATCAATCAATTTGCCACTCCTTTCATCGGTACAAAGTTGTATATGCTCTAAGGAAAATTAGAAAAATCATCTTCAATTACCAGGGAAAAAACCATTTTATTTTTGTATGTAAGATTTATAATAGAATTATTGATAGAATGTATGGATTCAAAGAATGTGCGGTTGTCTCCCCTATGGCTCAAAGAAGAATAATAAGCATGGCAATAGAACCATAATTGCATTTGTGGGCCGTGATGGTCTGGGCCCAGGTAAAGCCAGCCACAACTGTTTCCCAGGAATTCTGCTGCAAATCATGCACCCAGCCACCCACCAGACCAGAACCACTGATCATATACAGTACACAATACAAATATATGTTCTTTCTCTCGTGTGCATGTGAGCAAAGATCACAAAAGCTCTCCAATTTTGATTCTTTTAATTGGACTGTTTGCCCGATATATCATTTTCTTATGCACTGTCCTCGTTAAACGACATTGCTCTCCTCATGTGATCCTATACGATCGAATTATTGGTAGGAGTCTGAAACCCTCTCTATGTATCTTGTGTATTTGTCAAACATTACTGCGCTAGTACGTATAGGGCTGGCCATTCGGTTATCGGTTGCCGGTTAACCGGCCGGTTAAACCGATAACCGGCGGTTACCGGTTTGTGTATTTGTCAAACATTACTGCGCTAGTATGTATAGGGCTGTCCATTCGGTTATCGGTTGCCGGTTAACCGGCCGGTTAAACCGATAACCGGCGGTTACCGGTTTGTGTATTTGTCAAACATTACTGCGCTAGTACGTATAGGGTTGGCCATTCGGTTATCGGTTGCCGGTTAACCGGCGGTTACCGGTTAACCGGATAACCGAAAATAAGGGTTGCGGGCGGTTGGCGGTAGCGGGACTGGCTGTGCCGGTTAACCAGCTAACCGACGGTTAACCGGCTAACCGGCACGACTAGCCCCGCCTCAAGCAAAACGCAGCCGCCGAGATTACTCCCTCCCTAAACCCTAATCGTCATCGAGCGAGCAGACCCTCAATCCCTCCGGCATCCAATCTCTCAAACTCGCTCCCCATTTCGTCTCAATAGCTAGACCCGGAGCCACCATTTCCTCTTCCTCCACCTCCGATCCTTCCAATCCGACACCCACTGCCGCCAATCCAACGAAAGGCTCCAGCATCCGCGACTAGGCCCGCTGCCACAACCTCGCTCACCCACAACCAGCCAACAATCTTTCCGCCAAGTATGTACCTTTCAACGCCGGCGCCAACTCCACCGAGTCATACTCCCTCGACGAGATCGTCTACCGTTCCCAATCCGGCGGCCTGCTCGACGTCCAGCACGACATGGAGGCGCTCAAGGCGTTCCCGAGCTCTTACTGGAAGGCCCTGTTCGATTCTCGCGTCGGGAAGACGACTTGGCCGTACGGATCAGGGGTTTGGTCGAAGAAAGAGTGGGTCTTTCCCGGCGGTCATTGCGTCTCCCGGTTACTTCGGTTAACCGGGCAACTAACCGGTAACCGACCGGTCGGTTGTCGGCTACCCGACAGCTTCCGTCGGGCGGTTGGCTGTAACCATTGGTGGCGTCGCGGTTAACCGGTAACCGACATTTTGGTTATCGGTTATAACCGAACTAACCGAAAATCCAGCCCTAAGTACGTAGTAGCATAGGTGATTATATAATTAAGATCACTGCAATTTGAAGTTGATGTGGGTTTTTGTTAAGATACAATTCAGCCCAGGTGCTTCTCTCGATGCTAGGGTCCTCAAGTCTTCGGGTTAAGCTACAAGAAAAGTCATTTGTCCTTGAACGATCGAGTCGGTTGAAAGTTCGAACGAGAGCAAGAAGTCTTAGTAGAGAGAATGTTATGTCTTCCAAAATGTCACCATCTTCCTCTATATATAAGGAAAGAAAGATATATCGTCTCATGGTTCAATCCTAACATCCTTCCTCTATTCTCGATGACTTCAATTAGGGGTGGGCATACGGTTCGGTAAAATCGAACTGAACCTAACCGAACCGAATATAAACCGAATCAAAACCGAATTAATATTCGGTTCGGAATTCGGAAGGGAAAATGACATATTTAGGAAATCAGGGTCCTTTCGACCGAACCGAATTTCCGAAATTCGAACCGAATAAACGAATTACTATAATTGCAAGATGGATTTTTATGTTTGTACTTATTATAGGACTTAAATATTTGAATCATGTTAGTGTTTTATGACTTATGTGTTGAAATGTTTGATTTTATGCATATAATGGCGTATTTATTGTTCACATTATGGTGAAAAAGTAATTTAAAAGAGAGCAAATACAAGATAACCTCACAAATTCGTTTTTGTATGAAAAACCGAACCGAATTATAATTCGGTTCGAATTCGATTTGGGATTTGATGAAATTCGGGGACCCGGTATGCATTATTTCAGTTCGATTTGAACAGAACCGACCGAATGCCCACCCCTAACTTCAATCATCAATTTTTTTTTTGTTAATGGTGCTTAACAACTTTAGATTTCTATATCACACGAAGTACGTGAATGTATTCACGTAAAATGCAGACACCGGACTCTTTCATTGTCTTTCTTCGAGGCCTAGACGCCTAATTAACCAATACCTCTTCCCCACCATTGACAACAACTCATTTTGGGTTTGCACCGTGTTTGTTATGGACCAAACAATTTGCGCCCAAATAAGCTAAGTACTACTCTCGTAAGAAATAGTCACTACTTACTATAATCTTATTTTAGGCAAGAAACAATACATTAAAAAAATAATTTATTTGACTTGCAATTTGTATGCATATAAGAATGTTAGTCAACACTACAATTTCATTATGGGTAAGTACCTAATGCCCCCCACATTAAAAAAAAGAAGATCAACGTGTTATTTTCTCAGACTTACAAATATAATTATTAGTTAAATCAATAACTTAACATTATATCCTTACATTACGGTTAGTACCAGTGTGTCATCGTATGGATAAGTTTCTTATGCTTAACGAAAAAGAATATTTTTCGTCAAAGATATAATATGCCATTAGGATATAATATTTCATTACAATTGTACTAAGGGAAGGGGAAGCGAGTTTGAAAGCCAATTCAAAGTCAAATTCGTAATTACAACTTTACTATAACTCTATCGTTGTACCACTAGTAAAAACTATGACCAACAATTCAGATCGAAGTAATATTTGAATTGAATCGAATTATCTTACAATTCCATAAATACTCTAACTATGAGTGGAAACAATTGACCGAATTAAAATTTATATTTGACTGAATTCAATTAAATGAATGTTTGGTCGACTTTGGTCCTCCTTTCCTTTTACTTTCGAAACGGTTCATTTTCGATTTGATTCGATCATGGACCAAATCTGAAAATTTCCACTCCTAACCACGGTTGAACCTGAAAATGTATATCCAACCCGGGGGACCCGCTTCCAGCGTGTCAATCAAAAAGAGTCCTACCCTTTTCGCCCCATTATAAAACCTTCTTTTCTCCCTGCTCTCTCTCTCTCTCTCTTCACAGAACTCTCATTTTCTCCCTCCCTTTCCCCTTACTCGCCTCCCTCCACCTTCTTCTTCGTCTTCATTCTTTGACCACTGGTCCAACTCACTCTCAAGCACCTACTTCAGATCTCTCTCTCTCCCTTCAATGTCAATAAATCCATCCCTCATTTTCCCCCCGAACTAAACACACTCTCCCCTCGCCGAATCTTTCCAAACTCCATCACCCATTCCCTGTTTCCTCCTCATTCTTCCAATGGCGGAGGGAAGCAGCACGGAGCCCACCAAGCCATTGCCGGAGGCAGAGAAGAGGAAAGACCAGACCCTCCCGTTCCACAAGCTGTTCTGCTTCGCCGATAAGTACGATTGGATGCTGATGGCCTGCGGCAGCATCGGAGCCATCATCCACGGCTCCTCCATGCCCGTCTTCTTCCTCTTGTTCGGCGAAATGGTTAACGGCTTCGGCAAGAACCAGTCCGATTTGCCCACCATGATCCACGAAGTCTCCAAGGTTCAGAAACGTTGCTCTTTCTGTTTGATTAGATCTCAGATCTCTATCCTTCTCCTCTGTACTAATGGTGTTTGTTTGTTTATGTGGAATCGCAGTACGCTCTCTACTTCGTCTATCTCGGCCTCATTGTTTGCGTATCGTCCTACGCAGGTAAAAAAAAAAAGTGTAAAGGAAAAGAAAAATGTTGTTCCCGTTTCGGTTTTCCCCTTTTGTCACGTTGCTGGCGCAACTTCGCTGAACCATGGTCCAACTCGGGCTGGACCATGGTTGAGAGAGCAACTCAACTCAACTCACGTGTGCTTTTGATTTCGTTCTTCGACATCTTCTTCTTCTTCACTGTCGATTTCAGTAGCCGTTAATTCATTGATTTTGATTTTTTGTTGTTGTTGTTGTTGTTGCAGAGATTGGTTGCTGGATGTACAGTGGGGAGAGGCAAGTGAGCAGCCTGAGGAAGAAGTATTTGGAAGCGGTGCTGAAGCAAGACGTGGGGTTCTTCGACACGGATGCGAGGACTGGGGATATAGTGTTCAGTGTCTCAACGGACACTCTCCTAGTCCAAGACGCCATTAGTGAGAAGGTTCTTCTTCTTTGATCCTCTTCTTCTTCTTCTTTCTTATTATTAATGGATTAAATTAATGGGTTCTCTCCCCTCTCAGATCCCTTCCCCACCTCATTTATATTCCACTGCCCTCTTCTTTCTCTTTCCATCTGTCGCCATCGCTTCGTTACTCCATTTCCTGCACTTCAATTCACATCCCCTTTCTTTTCCTTATCAACAATTTGTACTACGAGTACTGGTGGTAGGCAAAATCTAGCGCTTGTTTATCTGAGTCGGAATAGAACAGACGGCATTTGGAAGAAGAAAAAAAAAATGGAAAGAAAACGACCCAGATGATTCGTGATTGATGGATAGGCTAATTCTTTTTATATATCTTCGTCATTAATGAAAGGGGTTCCAAACTTCCAATCGGAGATCTATTTCTGGCGGCTTATTTTAGCAAAATTCGACACACCATGCGCCGCCGCGAGCGTTTTGTGCTTTTCTTTGGCGGATTGTTACTTTTAGGGTCCGTCACTGATTGAGTTCTTCTTTTGGGAATTTTGGATAGGTGGGCAATTTTATACATTACCTGTCGACGTTCCTAGCGGGGCTGGTGGTTGGTTTCGTGTCAGCATGGAGGCTAGCGCTGCTCAGTGTGGCGGTGATCCCCGGAATAGCATTCGCCGGCGGGCTCTATGCCTACACTCTCACCGGACTTACCTCCAAGAGCCGGGAGTCGTATTCTCAGGCGGGCATAATTGCCGAACAGGTGAGGCTTTATTGTGTTTGAGCATAGTATAATTTTATTCATGATGATGAAGACAACGATGGTGATGGCTCCCTGTGTCTTTCTTTTTTCGATTGATGGTGATTCTACTTTCTTTTTTCTCCTGTGTGTGGAGCACTCTTTTCTGTTCGGAAACTTGTCTGGATTCATTTTTATCTTTTTGGATTAATGACAAAAATGCACACAGCTGTCTGTTTATAATCATGGTTTTTGGTTTCTTCTCTGGATATACGCTGAGCATGGCAAGCAGTCATATAGTGCTGGTTGTTGCCCTTTTTGAGCTGGCTCTTTCCCGTGTGTATCAAATGATGGCTCAGGGCACCTGCATTAGACTTTTCCCTTCTTTTGGTGGCGTCCTGTAGTTGTTTTTTCCCCACCACTCTGCTTGAGTTTTGTGCTTTCAGTTTTCCTCAATTTCAAGTTTGTTGACAGTAGGTATTGAACTGAATTTTGAACGGAATGTTCGTTGTTTGCAGGCCATTGCACAGGTCCGAACAGTTTACTCGTATGTTGGGGAGAGCAAAGCCTTGAATTCCTACTCAGATGCGATACAGAACACCTTGAAGCTTGGTTACAAGGCTGGAATGGCCAAAGGGTTGGGGCTTGGCTGCACATATGGCATAGCTTGCATGTCATGGGCCCTTGTGTTCTGGTATGCCGGTGTTTTCATCAGGAACGGTCAGACTGACGGAGGAAAGGCCTTCACTGCAATTTTCTCTGCAATTGTGGGTGGAATGTAAGCACAATGCCTCAAATCTTAAGTGCTGGACACAATTTAGTTCAATTATTTTTTCTTCTAATGGCATAATTTGTGTTTTGTTACAGGAGTTTGGGGCAATCGTTTTCGAACCTTGGTGCCTTCAGCAAAGGTAAATCAGCTGGATACAAGTTGATGGAGATAATCAACCAAAAACCTTCCATAGTCCAGGACCCATTGGATGGGAAATGCTTGGATGAGGTTACAGGGAATATCGAGTTCAAGGGTGTGACTTTCAGCTATCCATCTAGGCCAGATGTTATCATATTCAGAGATTTCTCAATCTTCTTCCCTGCTGGCAAGACTGTTGCTGTTGTAGGTGGCAGTGGGTCAGGGAAAAGCACTGTTATTTCCCTGATAGAGAGGTTTTATGATCCTAGTCAGGGTAATTTCACCACTCCAGATAAACTAATTGTACATAATTGATCTTAATCAGTCAAAATTTGATGGATAAGCTGATATTTCTTGTTTGCTTGGTGAGCAGGGCAGGTTTTGCTGGATAATGTGGACATAAAGAGTCTGCAACTCAAGTGGTTACGTGATCAAATCGGATTGGTGAACCAGGAACCAGCTCTCTTTGCCACCACCATACTTGAGAATATTCTCTACGGGAAGCCAGATGCAACAATGGATGAAGTAGAGGCTGCTGCGTCCGCTGCAAATGCTCATAGCTTCATCACCCTGCTTCCCAATGGATATAATACGCAGGTCGGTCTATATGAGTGATTATCTTGGAATTCCAATTTGAATTTTTTGCTCACGAACAAGTTGCTAAATGTGGTAATATGATCAGGTGGGAGAGCGAGGAGTCCAGCTTTCTGG